AAATACAACTAGAGGTCAAATCCAGTAGGCTGCCTATTTTTCTGTGGTCTGCGAACATACAGTGATTTTCAAATAGGGATAGTTGTGAAGAACTGAAAGAAGAAAACTTCATAGGGTATGTGAAAATTACATAAAATTTAAAGTGTGTTTTTTGTTGGAACAAAGTACATTCATTTATTCATGTCTCTATCACTTCTAGACACCAACATGATGGTGTGGGATGCCTTCAAAAGAGTCATCATTATTGACATAACACCCAGTTTGCTGCTTCCTAGTTTAAACTACCAATATCATATTCTCAATTTTAAATGTGTGTGTGTGTGCATGTGTGTGTGTGTGTTAAATCATCATAAAAGTGCAAAATATCAGTAATACCTGTGGTGAATGCTTCAGGCACATCAAAGTCATGTTTTTTAAAGAGTGTTTCATGACATTAAACTATGTCCAGTATATTTCAAAAGATTAAATACTTTAATAATTAGATTAAAAAATTAAATAAGACAGCCAGACATAGGGGGATACTCCTAAAATCTCAGTACTCAGCAGGCAGAGCCAAGTGGATTTCCATGAGTTCAAGGCCAGCCCATTCAACAGAGCAAATTCTAGGCTAGTCACAGATGGCAGTGAGTGAAAGCCTGTCTCAAAAACATTTTGTTTGTTTGTTTCTGTTTTCTCAATGCAAGGTTTCTCTATATAACAGCTCTTGCTGTCCTGGAACTCTAGTTGTAGACCAGGCTGACCTTGAATTCACTGAGATAGTCTGTCTATGTCTCCTGAAAGCTGGGATTGAAGGCATGCATCACCACCGCCTCCACCTGGACCAAAACCAGTTTTCTAAGTAAGCAAATACAAGACTCAATATATAGCATCATCTAACTTTCATTATTTATCTGTAGGCACATAGTTTTGTTTGCTTTATTAGGAAGTGCGTGGAACAGATTAAGAACCTGTGAACAACAGTAGTTGTACTGGTTACATAACATCTCTAAAAAAGCCTGCATGTGTTTAAAATAACCAGGCCACATACTAACATGTGACCATCCAGTTCATGTCAATGATTAGCTAGTAAAAGGAAGTTTTGTATACTTTTTCTCATTTGTGAAGTAATCTTAAGATGATATTTCATTTGTTTTCAAGAGATACAAAAACATCTCTGTAATCCACAAATGAGAAAATAGCCCCAAATAGCTTCTTGTTTGTCGAGTCTATTTCACAGTGCAAAAGGAAAATTGTAGAATGTTCTGTGCCTGGTCCTTAATCAGTCTGTAGACAATAACTCAAGCCTTGTGCCTCAGTGCAATGAAAAGCAACAAACCAGGGGCTGCTGGGACAGAGATGTTTTCCTCATTGTTATTGCCACTAAACAACAGACCAGGTACAGAATGATGGCATAGTAATTTCCCGTAAGGCCGCTTGTTAAATAATTGTCTTGAACAATAGTCAGTGTGAAACAGTATAAAAGAGTTGATATTTTAAATCACAGATGGTATGAACCCTCCTCTTCCATTGTGTGATCCCAAATCTTCCAGACCATCTCTTCCCAATCTGGCTTTCTATGAATGAAATAGGTTCCTGATCCACAGGGGTATGTTTTAAGAGCTATCTCCCACCCATATACACATTCACAGTGGATACTCAAAACATCAAATAGTACCTAATTCATATATACTGTATTTTCCCCTCTATACTCTGTGGTTTGGTCAAATAGAGTGCATCTGTTCTTCCATGCATTATACACCAGGGATGCCTCTACAATTAATATTCCCTCCCCCCTTTTTTATTTAAGTTAGAAACAAGCTTGTTTCACATGTCAATCCCAACTCCCTCTCCCTCCCCTCCTCTCCCACCATCTCCACCACGTCCTCAAGTCCCCCACCCAATCTCCATTCTGATCCCCAGGGAAAGTAAGGCCTTCCATGGTGGATCTCCAGAGTCTGTCATTTCATCCAGGGCAGGGCCAGCATCCCTCATTGTGGGATGGGCATTCAAAGTCTATTTGTATGCCAGGGATAAATACTACCCAAGGCCCATAGATTACCTAGGCCTCCTCACTGACACCTACATTCATGGGGTCAGGGTCAGTCCCATTCTGTCCACCCAGCCATCAATCTGGAGTCCAAAAGCTCCCCTGTGTTCATGTCAACAGTTTCTGTGGATTAAACCAGCCCAGTCTTAACTCCTTTGCTCATCAGTTCTCCCTTTCTGTGACTGGATTCCTGGAGTTCAGTAGAGTGTTTAGCTGTGGGTGTCTGCCTCTGCTTCCATCAGTCGCTGGATGAAGATTCTGTTTCCCAGACTCTCTGGCAGTGGGATTGTATGCTGGCACTCCCCTGATTCATGTCTAAAATCCATACATAAGTGAGTACATACCGTATTTCTCTTTTTGTGACTGGGTTACCTCACTCAAGATGGTTTCTTCTAGTGCCATCCATTTGCCTGAAAATTTCAAGATTCCATTTTTTCCCGCTGAATAGTACTCCATTGGGTACTCTATCCACTCTTCAGTTGAGGGGTATCTAGGTTGCTTCCAGGTTCAGGCTATTACAAATAATGCTGCTATGAACATAGTGGAACAGACATCCTTATGTATGAATGTGCATCTTTTGGGTATATACCTAAGAGTGAAATTGCTTGGTCTTGTGGTAGACTGATTTCCATTTTCCTGAGGAATCTCCATACTGATTTCCAAAGTGGCTGTATGAGTCGGCACTCCCACCAGCAGTGAAGGAGTGTTCCCCTTTCTCCACATCCTCCCTAGCATAAACTGTCATTGGAGTTTTTTATCTTAACCATTCTGACTGGAGTAAGATGGTATCTCAGAATTGTTTGATTTTCACTTTCTTAAGTGTCTCTCAGCCATTTTAGTCTCCTCTATTGAAAATTTTCTATTTAGTTCTGTACCCCAGTTTTTTATTGGATCCTTTCGTGTTTTGGAGACTTGCTTCTTGACTTCTTGGTAACTTTTGGAGATAAGCCCTCTGTCAGATGTGGGGTTAGTGAATATCTTTTCCCATTGTGGGGGTTGCCTTTTTGTCTTGCTGACTGTGTCCTTTGCCTTTCAGAAGCTTCTCAGTTTCTGGAGGTCCCATTTATTAATTGTTGATCTCAGTGTTTATGCTACTGGTGTTATGTTCAGGAAGCAGTCTCATGTACTAATTAGTTCAAGGGTACCTCCCACTTTCTCTTCTAACAGGTTCAGTGTGGCTGGATTTATGTTGAGATCTTCGATCCATTTGGATTTAAGTTTTGTGCATGGTGATAGACATGGATCTATCTGCAGTCTTCTACATATAAGCCTCCAGTTATGCCAGCACCATTTGTTGAAGATGCTTTCTTTTTTTCCATTGTTTAATTTTAGCTTCTTTGGCAAAGATCAGGTGTTCAAATGTGTATGGGTTAATGTTGGGGTGTTCAATTAGATTCCATTGGTCCATCTGTCTATTTTTGTGCCAATACCAAGCTGTTTTCAGAACTATAGCTCTGTAATACAGCTTGAAGTCAGGGATGGTGATGCCTTGTTGAACAGAGTTGTTTTGGCTATCCTGGGTCTTTTGTTTTTCCATATAAAGTTAAGAATTGTTCATTCAAGGTCTGTGAAGAATTGTGCTGGAATTTTAATGGGGATTACATTAAATCTGTATATTGCTTTAGGTAAGATTGCCATTTTTACTATGTTGATCCTACCTGTCCAAGAACATGGTAGATCTTTCCATTTTCTGGTGTCTTCTTTAATTTCTTTCTTTAAAAACTCAAAAGTTCTTGCAATACATGTCTTTCACTTGTTTGGTTAGAGTTACCCCAAGGTGTTTTATGTTGTGTGTGGCTATTGTGAAGGGCAATGTTTCTCTGATTTCTTTCTCAGCCCTTTTATGGTCTTTATATAGTAGGGCTAATGATTTTCTTGAGTTGATCTTGTATCCTGCCTCTTTGCTGAAAGTATTTATTAGCTGTAGGAGTTCCCTGGTAGAGTTTTTTGGGTCATTTATGTAAACTATCATATCATTTGCAAATAGTGAAAGTTAAGGTTTAAGTCTATTATTTAAGGCAGATTATGGTCACTTGAAATTCAGTCTTGTAAGTGATAGGGTTAAGTGACCTATAGGCCAATAACATATATATATGGGGAAATATGTAAAAGTTCATATCCTGAACATAATGGAAAAGAAAGACCTGGGATTTAATCATACTATCCAAGCAGCCATGCAACTTATAACTGTTTGTGTCTAGAGCTTTCCGTTTAAGTATTTTCTCACTTTTATTTTACTGCTGATAATTGAAAGGTGGAAATCAAAGCTCTTGGTAGGGGTTGGGACTTCTGTTCTGCTAGCCATAACCTTTAATTGAAGGTAGCAGCTTTCCATATACTTTCTATCCACTCAGTCTCATTGTGAATCAGTGTTTTGTACTTGCCTTCTTGCTCAAATTCATTGGTAACTCTCCAACTAATTGCCAGTGTGCTCTTGAAGTCACATACCACATTTGGTCATGTGGATACCACCAAGGATGCGCTGATTTATATGCTAAAAAGTTATGTGAAGATATGAATGAGTTTGCTTTTAAATTTTTGATGCTTATATGAATGGTAGAAAAAAATCATAGTTTGTAATTATAACAGGCTGTTATTTAATTTTCAGACAGCATAACCTTGCTCTCTTTCAAATTGATATCATCTTACCCCAATTAATGGATCATGGTTATCCAATACCAAATGGTCAGTCCTGAAAACATAAATACAAGTAATATTATATATACTGAGCTGGTTTTATTAGTAATACACATGTATATACATATACATATATACATGTAATAATCACTTAAGAAAGAGGCCATGAATTTGAAAAAGTTTGCAAGGGGCATATAGGATGGTTAGGAGGGAGGAAAGTGAAAGGAGAAATGATATAATTATATTACAATCTCAAAAGGAAAGAAATGATTAAAAAGTAATGTCTAATATATCCTATGTAATAAATGGAAGTCTTTGTCAAGTCTAGTAGGGTGTTAGGTTTTTATTGTTGCTATGGCTGCACAGTCTTCTGTATGATGTAACTGTTATAAAGAAATAGGATTTGACAAACTATGAGATTCTAAAGTAGCAATGTGGAGAATAAATCCCATGAGCAGCAACACTGGTGTTGCTCATTCAATACCTCTCATTCCAAGCCATTCCTCACTTCTCATAGCAATAGGTCTTAAGTCATCCCAACTTCTCATAGCAATAGGTCTTCTTTTGTGGTCCTTGCCGTGATCTTCAGCACAGGGGCCCCACTGTGATCTGTGAACACACAATAGATTGTTCCTACTGGTGTTCTGTGCCCACACTCCTGAGGCTCACTTAATTCCCGTGGCCTGTGGTTATTTTCCCTGCCTCACTGTGATGCAACATTGGGAAGGAGGTGTAGGCGGTATGAGAGGAAGCAGCTGTAGGGCCTTTCTCACAGAACAGATTCTTGATCACATGACTAAATTTTCATTAGCTGCTTCATATTTTGGTCTGCACTTTCCTTTCTTGGAAAATGGAGTTGTTTAAATCCGAATATCACAAGGTTATTTTTGAATTGTATTTAGATAACACATGCAAGAGTTTTGAAAATTATAGAAATGAAATAATTTTAGCAAAATAGCCGAGCACTGCTGAAGTTTGTGCTGACATTGCTTAAAGTTGAAAATATGTCAGGGGAGGGGACATGCTTATTTCCTGTCGCTATTTTCAGACTCTTCCAGAGCTGTGTGTGCACACGCCTCTGTGTTTGTGTGTATGTGCCTGTGTGCATGAACGTGTGTGTGTTTAAAGCTTTTCATTAATTTTTTCTCCTTTTCCTTTAACACCCAGTCTTTGGAGGACCACTCTTCTGTGTTAAATAGCCATGAAGTACTGGAGAATTGAGATGACTACCAACCCTGGCTTTCCAGAAAGTAACTGAGGGTGTAGAAGTGTGACTACAATAAGTTATAGGAGAGGAATAGACTGTTCTATGACAGCTTAGACCTGGGAGTTGGAGAGGAACCACAGCTTCCAGAATTACAGTAAGCTGCCCAGGTCCTTAGGCCAGGCATGCTAGACAATAGATTTTTGGACCTTGGTAGCTCTGGCACTTGTTAGGGACTCCACATACACTGTACCTAAGAACCCTGCCAGGAAATGGGATGTGGTGTATTTGGACAATAGCACCCCATGATGTGGCTGAGCCTGCCAGGAACTGAGGCTGGAAAGGTAGGCAGGTAGCTTTGTGGACTTTCCAGTACAGTTTGGTTCCCATGGCAATCACTGGAGGTTTAATGTGAGAAGTGATAGTGTAGCAAAGTCACTCTTGATAGTAGTGTAAAGAAGGAAGGGAGGAGAGGGAGAGAGACAGAGAGAACACTCTGATCACTGATCATATATTTCTGAAAAGAAGAAATGAAACAAAGGATCCGTCTCTTACTTTCTTGATTATATTTTCTATTTAACTCTGAGTTTGGAAAATAAATATATAATAATTAATACCCATATATATACATTCCTTACAGTTTTATGTAATTATATACTACTCATATATTTATGTATGGATATCCTATGTCTGTATATAACATTTATAAATGTATATAAAAATAAATATATTCCATTATATAATGTACTTTTATCTATACTGTACATCAATCCATATTTCCTGATCATATATTTATGCTGTATTTAATCTCATATAACATTATTATTCATATACATGTTTTCAATTATGAAGCACAGTGGTTAGGAATTAATCCCCCTTCCTCCACTCACACTGTCCCTTATCAGAAGTTTTGCTTGATGAAGAGCCAGGGAGTGACAGAAAGGATGCCTTTCTGGAACTCATGGAGTCCTGAGAAAGTGCTATGATGAGATGCATGAAATACAAGTGTTGTTGCTGGAGATACCAGGAGCCACCATTCCCAAGGAAACATCATTGTCTAGCAGGCTCCCAACTAATGGCTTCCTCCTTACAAACATTTTTTTTTCTAAATTCTTAGAAGAGAAAGATTATTGAAAGTGAAGGACTGTGGCCACGGGTATCCAATGAGATGCTCTGGTATGTCAAGTCCTCCTATTCTTCCTAGCAAAATTGTCCACACTCAAAAGTTATGTAATAATAAAAAGATGAATGTTGATGCTCACTTCCCTTTCTCCCTTTTAAATAATGCAGGAGCTCAGTAGAACAGCACTGCTCACATTTCCAGTGAGTTTTACTGGTCTACAAAACCAGTCTGTAAGGTTCTTCATAGATGTGTAACCTGGAAATACTAAGCAACACAAAGTAGGGTTTTTCCTATGGTATTTATTGAGGGAGAAGTCACTTACATGAGAAGCCAAGAAAGTGGAGAACCAAAGGTCAGCACACTGCTCTCAGGAACACAACTAGAACCCAAAGAGAGAACATATCCTTCCTCCCAGCTCTTTTATCCCTGTATATTCTAAGTACCTGTGACCACACCCTAATGTTCATCATCAGTGATATGGGTACATAAGATCTCTCCCTACAGATGTGTCAGGTGTTTGTTTCCTAAGTATTTCTAGATCCTATCTAGTTGTTAAGCTCTCAGTTTTCAGTGGTCAGCACATGCATAGGCAGAGAAAAGGTTGGGGTTTTTGCATTGTTCTAATTCATTTAACTATTGCTTTTGGGAAGCATTGTCAGCAAGGAATTTCAAGGCACTTAGGAAATGAAGAAAAATCTTAAAGGGATTAAGACCATGATGTGGAAACTACACAAACAGCTTACCTGAGCAAGTGGGAACTCACTAACTCCAGACTGACAGCTGGGGAACCTTCATAAGATCAAACCAGGCTCCCCGAATGTGGTTGTCAGTTGAGTGGCTTGGGCAGTCTATGGGACCACTGGCAGTAGAACCACTATTTATCCCTCTAGTGCATGAACTGGCTTTTTGGAGCTCATTCCCTAGGGAGATATACCTTGCTCAGCCTAGATGCAAGGGGGAGGGCCTTGATACTACCTCAAATGATATGACAGACTTTGTTGATTCCCCATGGGAGGCCTCACCTTCGCTGAGGAGAGGTTGGGAGATGGGAGGGAGAAGGTTGGGGAGCAGGAGGATGGGAGGGAGAGGGAACTGGGATTGGTATGTAAAATAAGATTGTTTTAAAAATATAAAATAAGGTAAAGTGGAAGCTGATTCGGTTAATAGCTTCAAGAAGTATGACTGACATGATTTACCAAGGGGACTGAAGCAGCTCACACACTCATCTGTCCCCTGGTGATGAAGGCAGCAGATGCAAGCACTGTAGAACTGGCATGGTCTCCAAGACGTCCAGCATTTCTGCAGCCCACCTTCCTCTTTGGCTTCGTGTGTAGAATAAGCCTGACATCTATCTGCTCATTTTCTGCCTTGATCCTGTCTTCGTCCTATGGTAGGCCTTCTCCTCAGGCCTTCATTTGTCCTTTCAGTCATCTGTGTCACTAAGCAAAATCAAACTGTGAATTCAGAAATGTTGCTAAACATGCCCACCAGTTTCTTGGTTGGGGCCAGCAAGCCCAGCTGTTAACTTGGAAGCTGTCTTGACATGTAAAGTTCTCTCTGGGGGGGCTGGGGGACCTGCTGGGGAGGGCAGGGGAGGAGAGGAGGGGAAGGGAGCTGGGATTGACATGTGAAACAAGCTTGTTTCTAACTTAAATAAAAAAAAGAAAGAGAGAAAAAGAATCACTCTGCTGCATCAAACACATTGTCTTGGTAGTTACGTCATTGAGAGCCACAAAAGCAGGTCCTAATCTGAAACATGCTCTTTCCAGTCACTAGATTACAGTGGATAAAAAAATACCCAAAAGAAAGTGCTTAACCCCCAAAATGCAACAAGGAAGGTTTTAACTTAGCATATGCCTGGTGTGTGTGTGTGTGTGTGTGAGTGTGTGTGTCTGTGTGTGTGTCAGTGTGCGTCTCTGTGTGTGTGTCAGTGTGTGTGTGAGTGTGTGTGTGTCAGTGTGTGTGTGTGTGTGTCAGTGTGTGTGTCTCTGTGTGCGTGTGAGTGTGTGCTTCAATTACTTTCCACTTTATATACTGGGGCAGGTTTCTCACTTGAATTTAGAGCTTGCTGATTCAGTTAGCCAGCTTGCTGCAAGAATTCCATGTAGGCGATCATGCTCACCTGGCTTTTATGCAGTCCTTGTGAAATCTGGCCTCATACTCAGAAAGCTCCTTATCCCCTGAACAATTCCCACCCCTCCTCCATGAAGCCCTGTGGAGTGTTGTTTGTGTTTTTTATTTATTGTATAGTTCTTGGCCATTCACTTATTTTCCATACAGGATGTTCAGGTGGGACTCACAGGAGCTCAAAAATTGAGTGTGCTGAGAGACTTTACTACCATGGAACAAGTCCGTGGACGTTTAAGTCCCTTACCTTAAGTCTTTAGCACACATTTCAGTGCATTTCTTTCAAGATTTTAATTGAAGTACTGGATAATTGTGTCCCTTTCCATTGAAAACATTTTGTTCAGCTAGGGTGTGGACCTACAACCCTGTAATCCTACCACATGCCAAGATAGTATATGGAAAGCAAACCAACCAAAACAATCTGAAAAGAAAAGGTTGTTACTGTGAATATTGTATTGTGTCTAGGCATGATAGGTTTTATATCATTTAAGGAAAACTATACTATTCACAAGTACACATATACAACTTCAAAGTTTTTATGTATGTGTATTAGTTGTGTGTGTGTACACATGGGCATGAGTGTGGGGGTGTGGGGGTATGAGAGTGCGGAGGCTAAAGGACAACCATAGATGTCATCCTCAGGAAAGCTATCTCCCTGTTCTAAAGCTTACCAATTAGGCTAGACAGGCTGGCCAGGGAGCTCCATGATCCCCCTCTCTCTACCCTCCCAGTGTTGAAATTTTCAAGTACACCGTCATGTCCAGCATTCTAGCAATGGGGTGGGGGGGACTGGTTCAGGTTCTAATGGTTCAAATCATTTTCTGTAGAGACAGAGACTTCCTCTCAACCCTTAACTTCAAACTGAATTCCCATGTCTTCTTTTAGGAAATAGGAATGTAGGAGGACACATACATGCACTATCTGTCCATCATTGTATTCTGGATTCATAAGTACCTTAAAACACTTCATACAATTTGGGGGGATAGCCATGCTTAAAAGAAAAGGTGTAGAATGTTCTATTTTTGCTTAAAGTAGTTAATTTGTTCAATAAAACAGTTTCTCTTCAAATATTTGAGCTACTTTTCTTCATATTGATAACCTATCTAATTGTGATGGTGGCAGCTCCTCTTTATTAAGAGTGGATTAGCCCTGTGATGTTATGTTATTAAAGCTATGTCCTTTTCCTTCTCCTTCTTCAAATCTCAAAATCCTAACTCTTTTGCTCTCATGGTGTTTTGGGATTATTGGGAGTCTGGAGTTTATTTCCTTCAAACTGCTTACATTGAAGTGAGGAAGCAACGGCATGGCTGACAACTGTGACTCAGGGCTTTAACTTAAGTGTGTCACTCAATCATGGTGAGGGAAATACAGTCATGTTGCCTGGAGCGCTAAATGTTGTCGCTCTGTGGGATTTCCACAGATTTTCAGGTTACTGAATGGATCCCATATGGTTTTTTGAGTGAGAGAAATTAGAAGCTTGTCCAGGGCATGGTCATCCCTAAACTTCAGAAGTTGTGCACTCATTTTCTGAGTATGTTGTGAAAAGCAGCTTTACAGAAATTGCTAAGTACCATTCAATGCAAAGGCAACAATGTCAAGGATAACATTGGTTATGCTAAGAATCAATGGAACTGATAAAATTTGCATTTTGAAAAAATTGTTTTAAGTTGAATTTTATTACTTCTTATTATGAATGTTTATGATATGGCTTATAAGACAGTAAGGTTAAGAGAAAATGAAACCTATCTATATTCTTCTACAGTTTGAAAACTAATGTGCCACGCTAGGGCATTTAATTATTCTGGATGGATTTTCATTTTTCATTGGACTTTGCATTCTTACCTGGAAGTTTGACATTCTATTTATTGAATTTCTCTTCAAATAATATTTAAGTGTCTTGAGGCTCCCTGGTGTGTCTGTGGATTTATAACTGAGGATTAAAGTAGTTATAAACTAGTTAAGTAAAATATTAACACAGATATGCTAGCATGTCAAACTGAGCCACTTTAAAATATAGTACATGCCTGCATGTATGTATATGCACTTCAGACATGCATGGTGTTCACAGAAGCCAAAAGAAGGCAGCAGATCCCATGGATGAAGAATTACACAAGGCTGTAAAATGCCATGTGGGTGCAGGGAACTAAATGCAATGTTCTCTGAAGATAGCAGGAGCTCATTCTTACAAGCATCTCTCCAGCCCTCTCTTAACTGCACCTTCGAATGTGTGTCTCCATGTGAAGACTCTTGTCTTGGTTGTATTTCTAACCTCTTACAAGACGAGAGACCATTTCCAATACCTTCTTCAGTCAGCACTTTTCCTGGCACATTGTCTACTCGGGGGATTCAGTGCTGCCTGCTATAGTCTGGATCTACAACAGCTCCCAAAGGAACACGTGATAAAGTCTCCGTCACCACTTAGGGCACCAGAGGGACATGTGAATCTTCTAGGAGAGAACCTACCAGATGAAGTCAGGCCATTAGGATCATGTTCCTAAAGGGGAAGTAAGACCCAGATGCTACTTGCTGCTTTGTATCCCAACCATCAGCAGTGCCACCCACAGCTACCAGGACATGGTTCCTTACTCTCTACTCAGAAGCAATTGTAGTAACGGAGATTGGAATCTCCAAAACTGAGCCCAGAATAGCCCTGTCTCCTTGTGGGTTTGCTAGGATATCAGGAAACTGACTAACATCCTGCCTTTGAGTATAAGATGGTTCACCTTTTATACACATTATATGACCTGCATAATGTCCTCATTTGTTTTCTACTGCTATGATGAATGCCACAAACAAAAGCAACTTGGGGTCAAAGGTTTTATCTTACAGCTTATAATACAACATGAATGGAAGTTAGGGCACAGACTCACCACAAGAATGAGGAGGGAGGAACTGAAGCAGAGACCATGGAGGAATGTTGCTATTGACTAGCTCCTCTTGCCTTGCTCAAGCTCCTCTCTTAGACTACCCAGAATTACCAGCTCAGGGATGGCATTGCCTACACTACAGACTTTCCTACAAGAATATCTGATAGAACCATTTTTAACTGAGGGTCCTGTTCTCAGATGACTCTGACCTATGTCAGGATGACAGAATACTAACCAGAACACACACACACACACACACACACACACACACACACACCACGTGCGTGCATATGCACGAGCAGGCACTCACTCACAAACATGCGCATGCACGCACAAGCACACACACATGCACATGCACACATCTTGCTCTAGAGGTGAGTGAACCTGGGAGAATGAAGCCAATAGACGAGGCCTACTGAAGTCTCATGCAATAGCTAACTTTATTAAAAGCATCACAAAACTTACTCTCTAAGAGAAATCATGACTAAAGTTCTCATAGGTTCAAGCTGTTTACAATCAAAAGTATATGGAACACATGGCAAAAACAAACAAGTTTTCCATAGAGGAATATAAAGGATAGTTTAAAATTTTAAGTGAATGACAGCAGCAAGCAAACATGAGTAATCCGAAGTAAACTCCTCTCACCCACCACACCTGGGAAGACAATGATACCATTATAAGAACAATTCTGTGTTTTCTTTCTTTCTTTCTTTCTTTCTTTCTTTCTTTCTTTCTTCCTTTCTCTCTCTCTCTCTCTCTCTCTCTCTCTCTCTCTCTCTCTTCCTTCCTTCCTTCCTTTCTTTTTTTATTCCTTCCTTCCTTCCTCCCTTTATTCCTTTTTTTCTGTTTTTTTTTTTTTTTTTTTTTTTTGGAGACAGAGTTTCTCTGTGGCTTTGGAGGCTGTCCTGGAACTAGCTCTTGTAGACCAGGCTGGTCTCCAATTCACAGAGATTCGCCTGCCTCTGCCTCCTGAGTGCTGGGATCAAAGGCGTGTGCCACCACTGCTTGGCTTAATTCTGTGTTTTCAAGTAACTGAGGTTATACGATTCTTGTCTTGTTTTCTTGGAGTTTTCTCACAAGCACTCAGAATTCTCATACAAATTCATTCCTGGATTGTGCTCCACCATATATGGTATTAGAGTCAACTACTTGGTATTGGATAAACAATTAAACTTATTGTAAATATAAACTAACAAAGGCACATAGTTCCAGATATCTTTCATATTTACAAATACAAGAAGTATTACTAAGGAAGAAAGAAGTTTTATTTTCTCCTGTATTTGCTAAAATTAATATTCTTCTACTATCAGTTTGTGGAATCTTTTTAGTTTAAATATGCTCACTATGCAGAGTAGACATCCTTGTATTTTTGTAATACTGGTATATGTATACATTGTTCTAAGCAATGTGTTTTGTTTGAAATACTGCGCATTCTAACCACAGTGTATCATTGTTATCGATACTGTGGATCAGGTGTAGAGCCCTATACATGCTAGGCAAGTGTTCTACACTAAGCTATTTTATAATCAGATTTTGGGTTTTTTTTTGCTAAGTTATTCCATCTTCCCTTAACCTCACTCTATTGCACAGGCCGGCCTTGAACTTGTAATCTTCCTATCTCAGCATTCTGAATAGCTGTGGTTATAGGCATGCACCACCAGACCTGACTAGTAAATTACTTTTGATCTCCCATGGAATATTGCATACTGAGGTGCCTGGGCAATCATCAGTACCTGGGCAGATCTCTATAATGTTGTTCCCATCTATTGTTTTCTAGTAAATATCAGCCCAAACTATGTACTCCAGTTGTTATATAAAGGCGATATATGCAATATAATATTTTGAATGTCTAGTAAGAGAGTATGAATTTGCCTTGTATTAAGATAAAGTATACCATCCTACTCAGTTTCTCTTTTGAAGCAGGAAATGATTCAAATATTGTCTGACTTTATTCTGTGACTCTGCAGTAGAAAGTTACAGTCAGGCCAGTTGCTATACCCAAGTACCCAGGGCGAACAAGATGGCACTCACCTGTAGAGAAGGACAACATGCTATTTCAGGACTCTCCTCGGCAGACAGTTTGGCTGTGTCTTACTGCATGGTGAGATTTACTTCCAGTGACAACTATAAGGATGCTGCTGAAAAATATTAACCCATTCCTGATAGGTCAGCAGATTTCTCATAAGTAATTAGTAACATCACAGGTAGCTGGCAAGCTCAGCCTTTCTAACAGGTGTGTGCAAACCAATTTGTTTAAGGAATCAGGCACACAGCTCTAACACATATCTTAATGTCATGGCCAGTAGTCATTATATTGTGATAAATGGCTCTATAATTAAGATTATTATGTAAATATATAATTGTTGGTTGACTCAAAACTAGCATTTATATTTCCTGTTGCAATTATTATTCCTTCACTATCTCTGCCTGGTGAGAATTGCAGATATTTCATTTCATGAACATCCTTGACCAGGTGCAATAGAAGCCAAGATCAAGTATTCTTAAGATAAATTAAGACTGTTTTAGAAAAGATGCTAGTTTTGACTTACATTTGAAAAGACAAAAACCACACCTTCCTATTTTATGTCTCTAAACTCTTAAGTTAATAACTGCAAGTAGAATTTTCTCTCCAAAACCAAGTCCTCTCCTGGACATGACTGGTAGGTATTTCTGCTTACCCAAATGTAGAAGACAAAACGGGGGAGATCACTTCTTGGATCCTCCCCTTTTACACTCCTCATGTGAAGGCCAGGATGTAATTGTATCACTAGACGGAAGATAAAGGATAAATGGGTGTTTATTGAGTACAATTACACAGAAAAATACAAAGAACCACCTGAGCATTTCCCTGCTCTTCCTACCGGATCCACTGACCTAACAGAAAGAGCACACGAAGGAAAGCCAATCCTGAAGCTCCTCTCTTCCCACTTCTGTCCCCCTGAAGCCACACCAGGGGTGTGTGGCCAATATTTCAGGTCCACAGACCAGAAGCCTCCAGTCATGGCTGACTATGGACAAGCCTATTAGATTTTTACCTTTCTGCTTCTTGCATATGCCCATACCATCCTTTTCTATAGGCACCATGCTGGTCTGTGACATTGTCATCCTTACATCATGGATTATTTCTAAATTCATCTTCCTCACATATGTGTTTGCTGTCTTTTTATTCATTTTCTTCATATAGCTACCAGAGTTTGTGCAGTTTTAATTGTATATTTCACATATTTATTACAGTACTTCTCAGCTGACCCTCTTTACAGCCTTCCCATTGTGTTAAGGCAGTGTTGTTGTTGTTTAACACTAGTATTATTGGTCTTCAATCCACATGACCCTCTGCTATGGAGAGCAACTTTCTGCAAAATGGGTGTTTAGCAACAAGCCTTAAACTATGCCAGATGGATGTTATTACAACCCACCTATTACCCCTGACACTTGTGACAACCATAATTCTATGACAAGTATTGATGATATAGGGATAAAACTAATTGAAAATTACTCCATAGTCTTCATATAAGCCTTTCCTTCTCTATCCCTTCCCTTGTCCCACAACTACCTTATGACTTCCTTCCCTATTTCTCATACCTCTAATCTTACATCTTCATGTATCTAATTGCATCCTTATCTTTTCATCTCTGACTTGTTTTCCATGTACTTATGGTTCAAGTTCACTCTCTGTGTATCTAAGTGACTTGTTAGAAGTACCACTGATGAGGCTGGAGCTCTCTGATGGAATCTAGGAGTTGTGTGTGGGAACCACAGAATCTTTGACTAAAATAGAATTAATTTACAGTGTTCTCTCATATTTTGAGCAGTGTTGACTGAACAACACAAAATAAATCTAGGTACATGGGTTTATAAAAGATGATATATACTTTTCTTTTGTAAATTTGGGGTTTATATAACTGTATATTCTCTAAATATACTTATTTTATATTGGAGTTTTAGGTACTTGTACCCAGAGCTATTTCCATTTGTTCATAATATTACATGTTCATATTAACTCTCATTTCTAGACAATAACAACCATGGTGCATTTCTGTGGGAGATAATTTAGAACCCAAGGTTAAGACAGAATCAAACAGTAAAAGAATCACAGCTTCACATAGTTAAACAAATACAGCCTAAACAAAACTCACACACCTTAAAATAATATTGTACTATACCTAAGAGCTTCTTGGTAAATTATGACAGTGTTGAGCATGACACAGCAATGGGAGAACTATAGAAATATGATATGGACCTTTTTCTCAGATTTTCTGCAAATAAAACTATGTACTAAGCTGGCTTTATATCTGAAATGCAGTAGAAAGAAAATGAGAATAAGATAAGAAATTTTATTTATATATTGCATAGATATAGATACAATACATTGTATAGGTAGGTCAGTAGATAGATAGATAGATAGATAGATAGATAGATAGATAGATAGACAGGCATTCTTTAAAGTTTTGTTTAATGAACTGAGAAGCTAATGATAATTTTTATCATCTTTACAATAAAGTCTTTTCAGAATGACCCATGATTTCAAGGAGTAGAAGATGAAAACAACAGGAATGAAAGGAAGAAAAGTAAAAAGAGATAGACACTGGAGATCCTACAGTTACACAAAGGCATTGAGGAGAAGACACAGGGCCCTCTTTGGTTTCTCCCTGTGGAGCCTAAAGCCTTCTTTCCATCTCATCACAGTTCCAGAGAGATGGCATCCACATACTTACATTGAAAGTCTCTGTCCTCACCAGGAAGCCCAAACTGTGTAAATATGTTTCTGTTGGCAATGTCAACAGCTGTTTGAAAATAGGATTACAAATAGAATGGATTGGGTAGGCACCTGGAAGACAAGTTTTATTTCTGACTACATGTTAGTTGACAGAATTAACCTATTTCCCATTTCTAGTGGCATACCAAATGTCATTTCTGTGCTTTACTTGAGTAAATGATGGTGTTTTCTTCAGTTCATGTCTCTCAGAACAGTTCCATCTGCAATATTTCTTTAAATATTTGCGTCCCTTTAATTCCTGCCTGCTTTCAGCTGTATCCAACATTGTAGACCCAAACTGACAACACTACATTCTTTCTAAACAAATTTTCTCTGCACTAGTTATTTTCTGTTGTTGTGACAAAATAACTGTAGTAGCAGGCATAAAAGGGATATGACATGTTTGACTCTTCATTTCAGAAAGTTCAGATCCTTAGATCGGTTGACTCTGGGCTCAAGGAAAGACTGAAAATATTGGGACTGTGATAATGTGGAGGGAGAAGCTGTATTCAGAGAATAAAGTGAAAGCTGGGAAGCAGAGCACAGGATGAGGACACAAGTCAAAAGAAAAGTGATGAGGGTGTGCCACCAGTGACCCTGTTCCTGAATTCGGCCTTTGTAAAATGATGTCATCTTGTGAATCCTCCCAGTTATTTAAACAGCCATCAGTTTAGAGCCTTCATGGTCTCACTCTCCATGGAAATGCTCTCTGAAACAAGACTACTAGAAGTACTTCCGCCTTCATGTTCTCACCCTCCATGGAAATGCTCTCTGAAACAAGACTACTAGAAGTACTTCCGCGTGCTCAGTCCAGCTGGATGAACTACCAAAGATAACCATTACACTGTCTCATATTCTGTCATCAGAAGTTGTGACCAAAATCATGCATACTTTGTCAAAAGTCAGTTGACTCCTTGATACTGAAGAAATAAACTGGCTTGTTGATGCCAACTGGGTCTTTGATGCTTTTGACTTGAGACCATTGCAGAACTCCCAGCAACAATAAAATATAACCTAGAGAAAAGATTGATAATGCAGAGGAATGTTTAGACGCATTGGAAAGCAGCAATAGTCCAAGTTAATTTGACTCATAAAAAAGCACCTAATTAATTATTTGCTATAGTTTCTATTGGTCTTGTTAGAGTTCCTAGGTCAAGATGATATTTAGCCCTAACATTTCAATTGGACCTGATCCTTCACTTAGTTACAGGGCCATCCCTAGGAGGATGAACTCACTTTATTCCATGCTAAATATATGGGTGGAATCATTAGTCCTTTAATGGATACTTTAATTTTTTTCTTCCCAGAGTCTCTGCCTTTGGTGCAGTAGCTTATGTAGGACTGCAAGCCCATCCAGTTTCCCGAATTATTCAGAAAAACCCAAGTTTTCCTTTTCCTTCTTCTATCTCTTCTCTATGCTTGCTTATCTTTAACACGTTGTGCTTTCCCAGTCTTCCCTGCAGCCTCTCCACCATGTGGCTGCTTGTCCACCTTGTCCCTGACATCCATTCCAGCTCAAAATGGCACGGACTTGTTTGCTTCTCTCCTCAGTGCTCTTCCTCCAGGATGCTGCTGATATCTTGCAGCTTGACTGCCCTGGCCAGTTTTTTCTTTTCAAAGTCTAATAATAAACCTTGAACTTCTTTTTGGTTCTGTTTATAATTGCCTTTATTAACAAAACTAAGAGCCTCACCTGAAGGCCTTGCTTTCTCTTCTATTAGTCTTTGTACAACATTAAAGCAGCTTTTTAAAAATAATCTCTGAGAGCCACAAACATCATTTTCTAGTACAGTGACATTTGTATCTTTTTTGTTTATGTATAAGGCAAGATTATATCTATGAGTTGGTCAATATACGGATAGTTAAAAGAGACATATAGGCAGTTAAAATCACCTAGAGATGCTTTCTGTCCTTTCCTTTCTGTTATTTCTTGGGTAGAAAAGGCAACCCTTCTGAGAAATGTCTAAACTATGTTCACTCTATTCTGGACCCTGACTTCCTGTTTGTCCTCACCTGGAAGAAATTTGATCTCCTTTCCAGGCCTGCATCTGAGCTCCTTACTGGTTTCTTAGAAGTCACTTTCTCTCAATTTCAAGAGTAGAATTTCTTCCTTTACATCACAAAAGAGTAGCTAAGCATCTCAAGTGCTCTCTTTGTTTTGTAACCCAAGGGAAAGTAAGTGCCAAGCAGCAAGCTCTTCTCTGCAACTCAGATGTGAAAGAGAGCAATTCCTATGATGAGGCACAATTAGTTCCATTCTGTAATTTCATTACACCGCACTTTTATTTTTACCCAAATATATTCCTTCAACTTAGTCTCAGATTTTTTTCTCCTCATTTTGTAATTTCTAGTTGTTCAAATGATCCCATGTATGAATACTCTTTAAAATCTTCCACTCTGAAGAGTGCATTGGAATTGATTCCTGCCTTAGTCTGTACTTTCCTTAAAGTGCTTATTGCTTAAGGATGGGCTGAATGTGCTGACTTGAGACAGTGCTTTTTTCTAAAAGGAAGCCCCTATGCACCAGGATGCAGGCAGCATGGGCGGTGTGAACTGCAGACAGAGGAAGAGAGGCCATTCTCTTACCTAAGGTCACAATTTTTATACTTGTGTTTATCCCTCTAAGGCTTACATTTGGAGCTTAAGTCTTGTCTTTATCCTTTGTTGATACATCTACATCTGATTAAACTGGTTACTATCTGATAGGTATTACATACAAGTGAAGCCTTTACTCAAAGCACATGTGAGAGGAATATATATATATATATATATATATATGTATTTTTTGGTTGCATAAAGTGGGAACATGTAAAATGGGAACACATGCAGGTGATGTTTTGGGAAGAACAAAGGCATTATTGGCAAGATGATGCTGAAAAGGCCGGGGGTCTTAATTGCCTGTTCTCTCATCACTCAGCTATTTCCTAAATACACTGCATGTCTTTTCTCTTCCCAGTTCCATGTCATTATAAATTACAGAGAAAAAATGGCATCCTTCACTCAGTATGTGAGTAAATATATGCCTTTCTGGAATGTTAAAATGGGAAGGAGGAAGGCATACTTGCATGGACTGTCCCATAAAGCATGGGCAGTAAAGCAAAATTGCAAACACTGAAAAGAAAACAAACCCTCTAGTGACCTAGTGTGCTTTTCTCTCACAGGAAATCCCAAAAGACAGTAGTTTTCTGTGTTGTGGAAGTGTAGAAAGAATTATACTGGTGTCTCGGGGGCTCCATTTTTATCAAGTAACCTTCATATGCTATAAATTGATGGCATTCAGAACAATGTGTACGAAACGGAACTACAACTGTTTGATGTCAGTTTCACTGCCCCCACTCCAGCCATGAAGCAGTCTGCTGGAGTAATTTGCTCATTTTACAGCTGCTAAGCAGTGGACTTGAGATGCTTGGACTGGGTTCCCAGATGGCCCTAGACTCAACCGCCAACACACACACACACACACACACACACACACACACACACACACACACACACGAGAGAGAGAGAGAGAGATAGAGATAGAGAGAGAGAGAGAGAGAGAGAGAGAGAGAGAGAGAGAGAGAGAGAGAGAGAGAGAGAGAGAGAGACATTTATGTGATTCATTGGTGTGCTCTGATTGGAGATCTCATATGCACCAGTTGCACACACTAGGCTTTCTTTAAAGTAAACCCATGATTTAAATTATTCTTAGGAACTACTACTGTGTGATTGTTTTTCAGTTCATTCTCTTGCTTCCTGATTAAAAAACACTGACATCTCTAAC